TAGGCCTACATTGGTTGAAAGTTGCTCTGTGAGCATTGATGATTGAAATAATGACGGCCCTTGATGATGTTCCAACATTTACTTTGCACTAGGAAAAAATAACTATCAAGGCCCAAGTCACACACTGAATTAATTTTAATTAATAAGAAAGACCACTTTTTGGCCAAATTAATTTGATCCTGGAGACTATGTAAAATAGCTGCAAATAACTTTGCTTATTTGTTCTGAAATAACTTTCTATAACTGGCCTATAGGCCTAGTTTGCAAGGGTTTGGACTACTAGCTGGTACAATTTTTTTAGGAAGACACGCAATGTGTCCTACCTCCATGGTAGAACTGCTATGATTGTGTTGCTTGCCTTGCTCTATTTCAGCCCAAAGTAGCCAGGCACAATTTGTGGCTAGACCCCCCCCCCCCAACTTGTGGTTGCATGGTTACAATTGGCAATCTGTCAGTCTGTACAAGTAAAGCCTATCACAGTATCATCCATGCACAAAACACTGCATACCATTCATGCCATTAGCAATTTCTGTTCTGAACCCAAGGGAAAGCCACAAGTGTGTGTGCTACCAGTACCATATAATGCACACAAGGAAGGCACTTGACACAAACATCAAGGCCTAACTTTTCTTGTTTGGTGGAATTGTTTTAGGATGCATCCTATCGTGCAAACAGCATTCCTTCAGAAAGGGCTTAATTTGGAAATGGAATTCTAACAAAATATCCAGAGTGATAACAGGATATGCTACATGTACATGTACTATTGAAACTGATGTAAAATTCACGTGAGACAATTGCAAAATTAAAATTGCACAAATTTAGTCTTCGTAAAAAAACTTAAGTGTGAGTCAAACAAAAGTGATAAGCATTTCCCCGTGAAACACCTTTGCTGTCACTCAGATTTGCTTTAGAAGAACCCATTACAGATGGTGGAATGTTCTATCCAGCTGAGTGAGTTCTAGATATAAAATTACATTTTCATCATGTCCATGAGTAAATTTGAAAGTCAAACGAGATTTTGATTGAGTCAATTAAGACTGATGTGAAGAATGAATCACTTGGGGTTTTTTTTGGGGTGTAAATTTGAGAATGGTTGATTTTGTCTGTTTTCGTTTCCAACATTTCGCTTATTGCATTTAAAGGGAATGTACAACATTTGCTTTTGCTGCAATTTTTCAGAATGGATTTGGAGGATTAGTACTGGTATGTTATATAAAATATTGTTAAACTGACTTGTTTCATGTTTTTGGTTTGTAGATGCTGGAAAAACCAAGAAAACCTATCATGTTCTTGTAGTCTGGTTCCCTGACCCCACTTAAGATGAAACGAAGCAATTAATACACAATGGGGAATTGTAAGGTCAGAGAATCAGTCTAGCAGGCTTGTACCCCTTCACATGTGTGTGATCATTGCAAAGAAAAGTCAGAATAACTAAATATGAAAAATTAAGAACAGTTTTTTTTAAAAACCCAGTTTTCTCCAACGCTGGTGGAAAAATATAGTTTTTCTTGAAACTGTCAGCCCACCAGGAGCCACAATTTTACAGGATGCTTTAGACTGTCAGTCCCTAACAATTCAGTAAGGTATTTCGTGATAATTTGATTATTTCGTTTTTGATGTTTGCAAATGTGGTATTTTCCCTTTAAAGTGTTTCATCATTGTGTGTCAGTAAGTTATCAGCGGTACCCGTGGAGTTAAGTTGGCACAGTGGACAGCTAAAAATTGTGGTATTTTTATTACACCTTTGACCTTTCGTAACTTTTAAGTTTTATGTATGTAAAATACATGAATCTGCATACTCGATTACATAATTTATTTTTATGTTATTTTCATGATGAAGCTAATAATCCACACATTTACCCAGTATATATTTTTAATATATTAGTAGCACGGTAGATTCTGCAAAACCCAGATCCCCCAAATAAATATGGCATTCCTTGAACACTTGATAAATCTACTTTTGAATCTGTCAGGTCAACATCATGCATGTCAATTTGGGACTGTAAACTATGCTCTCTTCATTTTTTATGGTACATGTGTGCATGTAGTATACATGTTCTGTGTTTGTCTTATCATTTATAATCCCTTGTTGTAATTGTGAGTTGGAAAATTTTGATGGCTTATAATTAAATTCCTTTTGATAGAAATCTCCGTTTCCATACATTGACAAAAAATATATTTTAAATGTTTGTTCATGAACTTCATGTATGTACATGTACATGTACATGTATGCTACATTATAACTATGGAGCTCCATGTTATAAGTTAGAGGAGGTACTACCGGTACATGTAATTTACATTGTATAATCAATTATGAAAAGTCTCTTAACACATGATGGGCTAGCATTGTGCTGCTCTTGTAAGGCTCAGAAGTCAGGCCAGAAACCTGGTCATTATGCAGGATTTCATCTTACCATGGAATATGATACCCATACTACTTGTGCACAAGGGCAATCTAGTGATAATGATGTTACATAATCAATCCCTGTGGTAAAGGCCAGAAACTTTGGTTACCATAGTTACCATGCAACCGCAGCTTCACAGGCTTCTAATGTAGGCTCATAGAGGTAGGCTGTACACTTTTGCTGAAGTTTAGTATAGGTAGAGAATATAACTTTACTCTGATTATTGAATAAGTGGATTCATTGATCTTCAGGAAGACTAGATTCACTTTTGTATTTGCCATTGCAAGATTTAAGAAAGTAAGATCAACCTTTTGAAGACTTTCTTCATTCAGATTTATTTGATTTCCATGAATTTGAAGGATTTGTATTTCCCTTAGTTTGATTTATATCCAGTGAATTTCTTGTTTACAATTACATTTACTTCTTTGAGTACACAAAGTTCAAGAATAGATTCCTTATTTTACTGTACAGGCCTACCGGTATGTACATCCTATTTTCCACTTTCTATGTATACATGTACATGTACCGGTGAATGGGCCTACACATTCTTAGATTCAAACTTTGGTGTATAATTCAAACTTCCTTTTTTTGTACAGAGTACAAGGTGTCCATAGTGCAGTAGTACTGGTATAGCCAAACTTTAGACCCTTAATTCTTTAAGTTACTGCATATATAATGAGGTGCACACAGTTTCTTGGAAGTCACCATACCTTAGTACAGGGGAGGCAGGAGGTTGGCCCATGTTTTATTGGCCCCTAGAGACTTCTTTTGACCACACATCAGATGCCAGCAGCTGTCTTATTAGACTGGCACACTAGTCCTTAGGTTTAGTTTATACCGGTACCCGGGTAGTGATGCAGCATACATACTCATATTTCTCTTTGTTTTTAAAAGGTTAGGGGACTGGGTGTACATTTTGTACAGTTCATTTTTTTAATGTGACTGTGGTTTGTCCAAACTCTGATATCTGAGACTTTCAGAGTAAATTTACTGCTAGCAGTTTGAAGACTACTTGAATCCACACAACAATATTTCTTTGTTTATCATTTGGAGTTTGAAGAAACATTCTGAATTTTTATAAATATTCTTAAACAGTATTAATGTATTCTCGAGTAACTTTGCAAATATTTTTCCATGTCCTTTTTTTTACGTTAATCTTATTTTAGTGTATGGTTTAAATTTGTTTATAAACACCATCATATTCTGTGCTCATGTAGACTTTTCAATTCGTTTTTGCTTTCTTTTAAATTTTAAATTTTGCAAAATGCAAATCAAACTTTCAAACGACTAATGATTAAGAATATTCTAAAAGCTACGGTAGATGATTCACTTCTTAACCTAGTGTTAAGTCCAATTTCCACTCTTTTTTGGCAGGAAAAAAAACATTTAGGAGCACTTCCTTGGAACATTTTCAGACAGGGGAAAAAATCCTGAGTAGAACGTTTACTAATCAGGAAACTAACTGTTTCTTTACTTACAAACACTTTACAAATTGAAAATTGTTTCCTGATTTGGAAGAGTAGTGTTTCCTGCTTTGGAAACAATTTACCTTTTTCAAAATGTTTCCTGATCAGGAAACATTTTTAGTGTTTCCTATTCTGGAAACCTTGTACAGTTTGACAAATGTTTCCTGATCAGGAAACATTGTTAGTGTCTCCTATTCTGGAAACACTCTACAGGTTGACAAATGTTTCCTGATCAGGAAACAATTGATGCGTTTCCAAAACTGGAGACATTTGTACTGGACGGTGAATGTTTCCTGATCAGGATACGTGTTGCCAGAACGGGAAATTTGTTCCCTGATTAGGCATTGTACCGGACTGTTAATAGGACCATACGCGTGAAAACGTTCCTTCCGAAATTACATATGCATCTTCACTGTCAGATTCTCTGCCGTCGATCACTGCAAAACCTACTTCGAGTCAGAAAGAAATCATCGTCTGAACTATCCACATGTCGATGGAAGGAGCCGTGAAAAATATTGCAACCTGACGCCACTTTTTTCTTCATGTATCATCTCAATGATGGTCATTCATTGCAAAAATGATGATGAGACATGAATCTGGGACTGAGAAATATTTCCAATGTTGTTAGGAAATACCTTTTCTTGACTCTCCATAGACTTTGTACACAATCGCGGAAGTGGCGTCAGGTTGCAACATTTTCCCCAAGTCTTTTCATCCCCACTCACTGTTAATGCCAATACTTCTTTTGACGCAATGGTTTAAGTCGAAGAATACACTCGAAAGTGTAGATTCTTAATTTACGAATTCACTCGGCGCTTCGCACCTCGTGAATTCTTAAATTACGAATCCACACGTTCTCGTGTGTTCTCCTTAACTGAACAGTGGACACATTGCCCAAGCCAGATATTGGGGGGTTTTCAGGGATGGTTCAGTTTGGGTCAATTCAGGTCAGTTTTTGGTTGAATTTTTGTCAGGTCGGGTCGCGTCGGTTTAGAGGAGTTCAGATCAGTTTCGGTTCAGATTCGGTTTATCTCTACAATGTTTCGGGTCGGTTTGGCCTGGTCAACCCGACCCGATGCACAATATTAGTTCACAGCAGCTTAGAAGGGTAACAAGGAGCTTGCCTCACATCAATGTGTTGACAGGAGATGTTGATGCACCCTACAGCTGAAGAACGGAGCACCACTGTCTTTGATCTCTCCCACTTCACCATCTAGGAGACTGTTCCAGACACGGACTGCAGTGTGGATGAAGGTTCTGCCGGTGGAGTAGGTCCTGGAGACTGGCTTGGAGAGTGCATGGCTAGGAATCAATACAAACTGAGGGGTGTTGCGTGTCATATCTCATCATAGAGCGGGGGCAGCATCTAGCCTTCAAGCCTGGTGTCCTAACAGAAATGAGACCTGTAAACACTGGCTTCAAAGCTGCAATTTAAATGACAAAGTCCGAGTTTAAATCAAATAAATAGTCCACGGTCCAGACCAAATGTCAGTACCATCTGAGGTGGCAAAACTATCAGCGAAAGTCAAAATAAAATGATAGCCTTTCGTAAAGAGTAATATATTTTTGAAAGCAGGTACCCTTTTATACCTTAAACCCTATGCAGGCTTCACAATGCCCCTCTTTATCAATACAGATCTTTTTTAAAGGTTTGAAAATCAAAATTTAGGGTTCAAAGCTCTTCCAGAAGGCATTTTTTGTTATGCAAAACAATGCAACCTTTCAGCATGAGGTACATGTAGCAGAAATGTAACAAATTGATAACCTCAAGTTCTCCACACTAGATTAGATAAGCTATCAATTTCAAGCCAACTGATCATAAATTCTGAAACCCTTGTGAACAATCTTAGAGAGGTAGGACTATATCGTTGATGTGGTTATTTTGGAATTATGATACAATGTAAGTGCGGGTCATTGATTAAAACTTTTGAGTTTGCCACCTTGGATGGTACATGAACTAGTACCAGCAGGTCCATGGACTAAAATTACAATACAAAGTTACAATACAAGATTCACATTTGGTGACATTTCATTACATACTGGTACATACTTCGACATTCCGTCTCAGAATCATGCCCAAAAAGTTACAAGCTGCAAAACATAATTGATAGCTTCCTCCTCCTCCCCCAACCTACAGTAGTTAACAGTACTGACTTAACCTGTTTTAGTATTAAAACATTTGAGCCTTAGAAAGAATGTAGTATCCAGACGCCACTACAACGTTGTGTACAAATCTATTAAGAGTCAAGAACATTCCCAAAGTTAGACCCATAAACATGGCATCAATAACAACGCCACATTTCACAGTCGTGTAAAAACACTCAAAAAATAAATATCTGCACGCGATTACACGGGTATCTGGAGGGCTCCTAAAATTTCTTGCATACATGACCAAGTACCAGCGTACCGTGCTTAACCTCAGAAAATCAAAAGTTGTGTTGAGATCGGTTTTTCACATTAAGACTTTATTTGTAGTTTATTTACGCTTTAGAAGCATACTCACCCTAGAGCGATAGAAAATTACATGGAGTCCCCCTTTTTCAAACATCTACTTTTTCGTGTAATTTCGTGTTGGAATTCAGATACGCAAACGTGTGCATACGAACCTGGAAATTACATGAAATATAGATGTCTGAAAAGGGGCGGGGGACTAATTTTCTATTGCTTTAATGTGGGTGACTGTGCTTCTAAAGCGTAAATAAACTAGGGCCTACAAAACTACATGTACAAATAAAGTCTGAATGTGAAAAGAAAACTTGACAAAGTTAACATTTAGGCAAAAAAAAAAAAAAACATGTTTAGCGTCCTGCCTCTTTGACAAAAAGGAAGGAGGAGGTCCTTTTTTTTTCTTTCCTTTCTTTTCAAAATGGCCGCCCGACACGCTAGTCCTGAGTTCTGAGACGTAGAGAACCAGTTAATATTTCACACGGGGTGAATGTATGATAGACTCTCGTGCAGACGCACGTGCTAATTGACTATTTTTACAGCTTTATACACGGTATAAATGTCTAAAAATACGATTTCTTTCGTCAGAGATCGTTAAAATTTATCAATTTTTGTCTTTAAAAAAAAAAAAAAAAAGAAAAGGAGGCGGCCTCTAAAAAGGAAGCGGGCGGGGACGCTAAACATGTTTTTTTTTTTACTTCGCCTTATGAGGAGATGGGTACATGTTCCAAGTGTGGCTTTTATTTACGGAGGTACTCCAGTAAATTGGCCACATTTTTATATGGAGCTCATTGTGACGCCACCTTTACAGATCTATCTTTAAGTATTTCCTAACAAACTTGAAACTGTTTCTCAGTCCCAATCCCAGATTCATGTCTTTTCAACATTTTGCAGTGACCGACCTTCACTGATGAAAACAGTGGCATCTAGATGCAACATTCTTTCTAAGCCCCACCCCCTCCCCCTGCTAGCCCGGCACTTTGCCCCATTCTCTGCACTGCGTGCCCATACACAGAATGGGGCTAGTACTAGGGCCTACACGACAGAGCCAGTCATATGCCCATGCAGCGATCATGCATGCTCGCCGCGTCACGTGTACATCATACTTAGTGATCGACAAAATTTACACTTTTTAAGTTAAAGTGAACATCTTGGACATCGTGAACATCTACGAGAATGCATAGATGAAAACCTCAAACACAAAAAAAACGGAGGGAAAAAACTAATTTCGATTTTACCATGAACATGATGAAGGAATTTGACGAACACAAGTTTCATGGACTCCAGCCGCATACCACCTGCACCACACACGAGCGCTAGCTAGCTGGAGTGGTTGTTTACAAAAAAGTAACCAGTAACTTTCAACAGCGCCACCACTTGACCAAGAAATTTGTACATTGTCACTTTAAAAACTTTTCAGCTGGTAACAATCATAATCTTGGTTGGAATTGTATCGGTGTATGATGGAGTAAATATCAACAGAATTGTCATGAACATTACATCAACCACTATCACTAAAATCATTCATTAATTTCTAGCCAAGCTTGTTCCATTTTGAGCAGCAACGTCGTTGCTCATTGGAATGTGATGTAAATAAAGCCACTTTCAACATTAATATCTGCACCGTTTCCCCATACTGCAGTGCATTAGGCCAAAAAAAAGTCTCCCGTTTCTGGTATGGAGCTTGCCCCAAAAAAGTGGTGCGGCGACGCGGCTTTTTTTTTTTTTTACCTGTTTTTTTTTCTTCAAATGTCGGCTGATAACTGCAAATGGTGCTCGACTAAACTTAGTGCAAATATTATGGGAGACCAGTGAGGCCACATAAAGCTTATTCTCGATCATAACCCCATCAAAAAACATGTTAAAATGTGCAGCAGCAGGATTCCAGTCAAACCAGTGAGTTTGGCGGTTTTGAGACATCAGCTTTCATTGAAAAAAAAAACTTTTTCATTTTGCCGACGCGCATGGCTACGGCGACGCGCGCGCATACCAGAAACCGGAGACTTTTTTGGGGGGGCCTTATCGGTTGATTTTTTTTATCTATACATGATCGGTTGTTGCAGTTATCCGTTCTGTTTTTAAATACTTTATCCGCCCTCACGTGATACATTACCAATTAGAAATGTACTACCGTGACTATCAGTCGATTTTTGTTACAGTGATGCGATATAGCGGTTAATTTGTGTGACATTATCAGTTGGTGATTTATCCATTGGTTGTAACACTTACACTTAAGATGTGATGGGATTATCAATTATAGGCTTCAGCCTTTTAAGACCCCATATCCAGATTCTTTCAAGTAACTGTCAAATCTATTCTTGAACTGGTTGACATTCATGGCATTTACGACGTAGGCTGGGAGGTTGTTCCAGTTGTTTATTACCCGTTGGGAGAAGAAGTGTTTCCTCAATTGGAGACCTTTATGCATTCTCTTCTTAAACAACTTCAACCTGTGACCTCGGGTACTCGTACTTGACTTGGAGAAGAACTTTTCTGGATCAATATCGTCGAAGCTATTCAGGATCTTAAAGAATATGTCTCAATAGGTCACCCCTTACTCTCCGCACTTCAAGTGGGAATAGGTGTAACTGTTCCATCCTTTCGCTGTACGGTTTTCTTCTCAATTCTGGAATTAGCTTTGTCGCCCTCCTCTGAACTTTCTCTAGAACCATGATGTCTCTCTTTAGGTAGGGGCTCCATGACTGAACGCTGTACTCAAGATGTGGTCTGATGTAGGCTTTATACAATATCCCAAAGCTTTTAAGTTTGTCAATGTGCTTGAATGTCCTCTTGATAACTCTTAGACTTTGCATCACTGTACTGCTGCTTTGGTACATTGCAAGCTGGGTTTGCAGTCACTTGTGAGGTGCACACCAAGGTCCTTCTCTTCCTCAACTGCTTGAATGGTTTCTCCATTTAAGGTGTATTCAACCCTCGGGTTTACCTTGCCCATATGCATGCACTTGCATTTCGCAGCATTGAAACGAAGTAGCCATGTTTGAGACCATGTTTCAAGGGTTTGCAGATCTTCTTGAATCTTCTGACTGCCATCTGAGCCATCCTTTCCAACAACATTGTATAGCTTGGTGTCATCTGCAAACAGTTTAGCCGTCGATGAGACAATATCTGGGAGGTCGTTGATATATAGAACAAATAGAGTTGGTCCAAGCACTGACCCTTGTGGAACTCCACTTATGACATCTGCCCGTTCCGAGGATTCCCTTCTAACTCCAACTTGCTGCTTCCTGTTTCTCAGAAACTTGCATAGTAGTCTACGGTCGCCATCTTATACATGGTTTACCAGCCCGAGTCAATCCAGAGGATTGAAACCGCTTCAAGTTGACAGCGCAAATTCCACATTTTAATTTAGGGTAATATTTTGGCCACGACACATGAAATTTTAATAAACCAATAATTAATAATGGTTACGTCTCTATAATCCGACGTCCCATTGGTCCGACGTCCCATTGGTCCGACGTCCCATTGGTCCGACGTCAACTGGTTCAGGTTGACTGACCCTAACCCTAACCCTAAACCTAACACAAACCCTAACCGTCGGACCAATGGGACGTCGGCGGCCCCAATGGGACGTATTGACCAATGGGACGCAGAGCCTTAGACCAATGGGCCGTCGGACTAGGGGACGTCCCCATAATTCACTTTCATCTCTTTTTGATATTTTGGATATCACTTCTTTTGTCCATACTCGATCTGTCAAAAGGAACGGTCTGATCTCAGCATCAATTGTAGTTGTTAGTTTTTAATTATTTCAATTGTTAATATTACTATTTGAAACACTTAAATATGCTTGATATAATCCATGATTACCCACAGCAATTTGAAAACACGGTGTACATGTTTTTGTTATGATCTACAAACTTGTTTGTACACTTTTTTTCCCGCTCATTTTCAGTGTTTCTTATGAAAAACAAATATGTTCGTCTGAAAAATATATCGACAAAAGTCGAATGTGAATCCACTGTGACAGGAACCTGACCTACTTTTTGGGCACTCCTTTTTATTTTTGTGGTTCTCAGTTCCGACCGATCTGTTTTGAACCCCATGAACCCTAAAAAGGCCTGGTGGGGGGGGGGGGGGGGGGGGGATTGCAGAATCGCCCCTTGTTACATTTTCTATGAAAGGTGCGCTTGCACGGCGCACACGCGATGTTGGCAAAGTAGCACAAGCGCTGTATCTAGGTTTAATGGGTTAACCCAGCATGCACGAATTTGTCATTTTTGTGATCAAAATTTGTTGAGCATGGGAAAAGCCAGCATTAGAATGATCCACTTAGCCACAAATGTTCCATACTCAGTTTTTCCCATAGGCGCTGGCCTTTTTCAGTTTTCACGTTAAATTGCCCATCACTCGGCCTGTGTTTTCAGCATCACGCAGTCAATCAAATCTTTGACGGCCTTTACAACTCTACCCGATGTTCCCTAATACCTATGTTCCCCTATACCGATGTTCCCCGAAATCCTTAGGATTAAGGTTAGAGTTAGGGTAAAGATTTCGGGAACATCGGTATTGGGGAACATAGGTATGAACCCCAACTGTTTTCTTTTATCTGAAGAGGTGATGGAGAAATTTGCTAAAGGCCGATTGCAGGTATATGGGGGGGGGGGGGGGGGGGGGCAAAATGTTCCCGAAGAGGTAGCACATCTTGATTGTTTGTTTTTGTTTGGTTTTTCTGTTTTTCTGTATTTTTTTCGGGGGGGGGGGGCGTTAACATGTAACGTGTAGGTGTGAGGTGCTGGCGTTTCATTTCCTTAAAAAAACCCCCAAATATCGGCTGGAGGAGGGATTTCCTTTGTCTCTCCACTGATATACGCGAATGACTGCAGGATTAAAAGACCTTGGATGAGCTTTACAAATTTAACCTTTCCAAAGGGCCTACAATTTTACAAAGCGTGGTCTGAGAGATTGTATGAAAGACAGAAAACACCTGTTGTATTTTGACTTGTGATATAACTTATGAAACATGGATAAGTGAATTGAATGTAATTTGATGAAGGCCTTTCCACGCTGCACAATTTATATATTTCAAACACATGGTGAATCGATTGTAATTTACAAACAGAGCTGTTTCGGATCATAGGGGAAAACACACACGAGGCTTGTTAGTGCCAAATCCACCGCTTGAGAGAGTTATAGCGCCCTCTGTTGACAGAAAAGTTTGTTGTTATTATTATGGGATGGCAAGTGATAGGACGTGCGGAGGACTAAAGTTTTTTCAACCTTTTGACATCTTTTAAGCTTTCTTTTTGACTTACTCTCGACTTATGGATCGGTACTTGCGTGTTTTGGAGCAATTGGGATCCTAAGAGGAGCTTCTCATAAACTGTAAGAACACGGTAGGCAAGGCAATATTGAAGAAAATAGAACTGATTGAGGGCCTTGAATTGAATAGTGTGTGAACTTGTTTTCATTCTTCTGAGAACAATTGAAGCGTTGGAAACTTAGGCCCAGTCCTGTCCGCAAAATAAACGTGAAAAATGAGCTTCAAAGTGAACTTTAGAAAGGCCCATAAATAGGCACGTACAAGGCCTATTATTGTGTTCAGCACTACAATGTCGTCTGAGCGAACACCGTTGGCGGATTCAAAAACAACTTTTGGGGGATTCTGTTTTTACACTATACAGTTTGTTTTTGGTCACTTTTTTATGGAGGAGTGGTGGTGTGCCAACCTTACCATCTTTGTGGACCTGACAACAAAACAGGTCCCCATAATGCAGGTTGTGTGAACGCTATGTGGACTAAGCCAGGTCCACATAAGGATTTGCCCTCTCTGGAAAACAGGTTTAGAGGCATTTTTGGGTTAGGGTCATGTGTCGCAAATTAAAGAGGAACACCCAAGGAAATCAGGATAAAAAAAAATGGTTTGAGAGAGTTTTCACAGTGTGAGTAAAAATTTGTTGTCCTCGGTTTTCCTTAACTGTGCGAAAACAAAGGAATGTCCACATAGGGTATGTAATATAAACGTGTGTGGGTGTGTACATAATGTATACACATTGAAATTGTGGACCTTGAACAATAGAGGACTATAGGGTTGACCGAAGGTCCACGTTTGATATGTGTGTACAAATCTTACGGGGGATCTTCATCCAAATATAAAGTATAAACATAAGAGGGACAATAGGGAGTCCGCGATTGAAGGTGTTTACACAGTTGATCCTGTTATCCTTTGCATTTATCTGTAAAGCCATCTACCGAATTACATGTATTATCAAAAGGTTTACTTGGATTAAAGATCCTACTGGCACTGAACACCCCGTGAAATGATTCCGCTTGGCTCAATGTATTCCAACGATTACTCAATATTGACTG